ATTTTTCCTTGCAGTACTAGCTTTGGTATGGAGTAGCGGGGACCTCTCAGTATATGCCCCAGATATTACACTTTACGTTTTTTACCGTGTCCATTAGTTGTTTTTCTCTTCCAGCTCTTCGTAGAATTTTATTATTAGTTGTGTGTGCTGTCTAGGGAATACGCAGCAATCGGCGTAGTGTTCACAACTCAAAAGCTTCGATTCGATTTAACGTTCTGGCTTTAAGTGACCAATTTGTGTGCTTTAAGTGACTGTACTAAACAATAGGCCATATATAACATTGTACTACACGTATTTGAGTGTGTAGTGGCATATTTATGTGAAGAAATATATTCTTAAGTTTAAAGAAGGTTGTTTTCGCGCGACCAATTCTTCCGTTCACTTCTTTATCACATTCCCACTTTTCATTTAGAGAAGCGCCAAGATAGGTAAATTTGTCGACACGTTCAATATTTTCTCCGTTCACGTTGAAAGTGGTAATATGCTGATTTCTGCTAATTACCATCATTTTGGTTTTGGTAGTATTTATATGTAGTCCGAACTTTTCACCACATCCGTTGATTTTATTTAGTATTGACTGGAGGTCTTCAAGGTTATTAGCCAGGATAGCGGTATCATCTGCGTAGCGTATATTGCTCATTGGGACGCCATTGACTTCGATACCTCGGGTTTCATTTTCTAATGCTAGTTGGAAAATTTTTTCCACATAAATGTTAAATAGAATGGGTGACAGTACACATCCCTGACGCACTCCCTTCGAAATACCAAAGGTCTCCGTTGATAACTCGCCATTAATACGGACCTCTGCCAGCTGTTTCCAATACAATTCCTTTATTACTCTAACATCTTTATCATCTAAGCAGATCTCCTGTAATCTCTCCAGCAGCGGCCCATGTTTTAAGTATATCAAAAGCTTTTTGATAATCGATAAAGCAGACAAAAACATCTGGCCTTTGATCGTAGCACTTTCGTACTAGCAATTTCATTGAGAAGCAACCTTTTCTGGTACCAAGTCCCTTAATACATCCAAACTGGGTGTCACCACTCATATTCTCACACTTTCCGTAGATTCTTGAGTGAATTACTCGAAGGAACGTTTTGAACTCGTGGCTCATCAGGATGATGAGTCTATAGTTTTCGCAATTTCTGGGGTATGCTTTTTTTGGAATGGCAACAAAGGTAGACCTTAACCAATCCCTGGGGATTTGCCCACAGTCATATACCACGTTGAAGAGATATGTAAGATGTTTGATATTTACTTGCTTCAAAACTTCTGCATATATGTCGTCATGGCCCGTACTTTTACCACTCTTCATACAACTTATTGCGTATTGGACTCAAGAATTTTTGGACCGCTCATCTTTTCGGTAGTGTTTGTGGGGTTATTTGCACGCGGCTCCTTGAATAGTGCCTCCGCGTAATTTCTCCAACCTTCTCTTAGTTTGTCAGTATCTGATATCGGTCTTCCTTGTTGATTTTTTTATTGACAGCAACGCTATTTGATACTACCAACAAATTATATGTTTTTTTATCCTACATTTTCAACAATTTTGATATCGATACATTGCAGCACACATTCGACAACACGACCGGGAAATACACATTCAGTTGTCAGCATGGCAAAGAAGAATGCAAAGGAAATAAGTTTCAAGCTTGCGGTTTAGCTCAGATAGCTAACGAAGAAGAACGACTTGACTTCGTTACTTGCGTGATGTCAGCCAGCAATCCTGCAAATATCTTCTACTTAGAAAATGTGAGTATATATCTAATCGGAACCTTACGGTACCAGTGCAATCAATGCCTGGACCCACAAATACCAATAAATTATTTTTTTACGTCTAACCTGAGAAGTCCCCATTTTTCATTCAGTACATTTTCTTAGTGAAAAGCTATATTTCTCTGCCTAGGCCAATATACAGGGTGATTCAAAATTGGTGTCATTCCTATGGAGGTGTTGTTGGGGGGCCTTTTGAGAGTACAGGACAAACAGTAAAAAAAATAGTTTAAAAGTTAAGTTAAGTTAAAGCTAAAAACTCAGATTTTTGCAACAAAGTATATCAGAAGGATAACAACAATGTTTTTCAAGGTAATCTGCCTAATTAACAATACGAAAAAACTTGTTGTTTTGTATTTATTAAAACGTCCGGTAACCATGAAAAAATATACAGTGATTGATTGAACATAAGATAGATTCAACAGGATTCGTTAAATGTGGAACGTACTTTATTGAAATGTCAACATTGTTATCATAACCTCGAATCGATGTGTAAAGTACACAAATAAATAAACATTTCAGTCTTTAACTGCAAACAAGTTAGTGCCTGTGTAATCACCTTATCATGCACTCTGCTCGAGCAGCTTCTCGTATTTGGTTAATTAAATCCTGCTCAATTTGTACCGGTGTTCAGTAAACCATTGGTTTAATGTGTCCTTGTGCATTGTGTATCTCACATACGTGGTAGGAATGTAGCCCTTTTTCGATATTTGTTTGGTATTATTGGTAAGTATTCCAATATGCTACCAATTAAATTTCGGACAATGTCAAAATAATCCTTAATAACAAWGTYKAAAWTAGATTTTCAACTGTCAATATATTTTAGAAATTTTGGGAAAAAAAATTCAATATTTTTCTTGTACTCTCCAATAGAACCCCTATTATCCCTTAAAAGGCATGACGCTATTTTTGAATCACCCTGTATAATAATCATAAAAAGTCCCTAGGTAAATAATCAAAGATGCTTACGTTTTTGTTATTATTAGTTTGCCCACCTCTCTAAGTTCAAATGAAATTTCATCCATTTTCCTTTATAAAATCACAGTAACTTTTAGATTCCTTCATTTTTCGCATTACATAGCGGCAGTTTGACAACTGAACGTGGAACTATTAATATAGTGACACTTTTGATTTGAAATTTTACATCTAATTAAATCAATTTAGGCAATAATCCGTGTTAGCAGTAAAAAAAATTCTATATATACTTTGGTCGAGAAGGTTGTTAAATCCCTCGCACATTATATTCTATAAAGTGCTCGGTATATAACAGCTTACTTCTCGACCTAGGTATAGAATGTACTAATATTTAAATTACAATTCCAAAGAAATTAACATGACTTTTAAAAGGATATGCTTATTATTCTTTCACATCTAGTGTTATTGAACTTTAGTTGAATAATCCAAGTGCATAATTATGGATGGACATTAAAATTATTTCTTCTATTTACAGTGTGCAAAAAAATCCACGCTGGACTTTTCTGCGATGACAAAATGTGCCATATCTTCTGAAGGCGACAAACTGTTGGCTTCTTATGGAGATAAAACCTGGAACCTGGAACCAAATCTTTCATATGTTCCTACAGTGGTTTTTAATCATTCTGTTGAAATAAATTTTAGCGACATGAATAAGTCCCTTGTAGATTTCAAATCTGTTATGTGCAGCAAAATCGAGCAAAATCACCCAGATGTCTGCAAAAGTAGAAGTTTTATGTCTAGAATTAAGCAATTTTTTTCCCAACAATTTTGAGATAACATGTTATTAATAACAATTTAATAACAACATCTACTAGGATGATAAAGTTCTCAACCAAGATTGGTTTTCTCTGACGCTAATTCGACAAAAATTCAACGATTCACAATTCAATTAACAAATTTGTCTCCTTATTTAATAAAACAAAAGTTCAATTGATTTATCTATTTCGATTACTTACTGGTTATTGTAATAAAACCTAGTCCATTAATAACAAAGAAAATAATCCTAAGATACTGAATATCGAACTAACACCTATAGTACATTTTTTAGTAGGTAGTGACATTGATATTTTAATATTCTATTGTGAAGCTACATCAGTCCGTTTAATTATACGGTGATTTCATAAATTACCAATTCATCTGGACATTCGTTACTGAAAAATTACGGTCAAACGATAACCATGTATCAAAACTAGAATAATAAGCTGTGTGTGAATTGATAATAACGACAGTGCACACAAAATCATAATATCAACTTTTGTCTTATGGAAAATATTATTACATTCATAGGAAATTGATGTAGTTGTTCATCAAATAATATGGCTAAATGCCTGATGAAGCATTTTTCTTTTTTCAATATAATTTCCAATATGAGTTAAGAGTTTTGCTGGCAAATACTAGGCAACATAATAACGACTTTGAAAGCATCTTAAGCACGTTTAAATAAACAAGTTTAACTTTATGTTTCATTAAAATTCAATGCATTTTACAAGCATTTTACAATATATAACCCCTTCGAATAAAAGCAAAGAAAGTAAATCAATTCTAGTTACATGTTTTTATTTTTTGAGTGGTTTTGTCCACTCAGATTTTTTTAAGGTTTGCGTCCTCAGTGAAGTATCAGGAAATAGAAATTAATATACAATAAATACTAAACATCTGCACTGTGCGCCGATTTATTTTAGTAAGGGATTAAAAAACAGTAGCCAAAATATACAAAATCCTTTCAATGTTAAGTTGTGGACAAATTTTGTAAACATTTTACTTTAGTTAAAGAGCCACTAAGTAATTATGTTAAGTAAATTTAAAATCTAGCAGATGAGTTACAATCATACATAGCGTTAACAGATGGATTATAAATTATTTTTAAACAGAAATATTTCCGTTCCTAAAATTATTTCTATTTCTAGATTTGAGATGTTCAAACATAATTAAAACCATCATGAGTATTAGCAGGCTTATTTAAAGTGGCCCTAAAAGCCCGTTTACACGTTCAAACCATCTGAACGATTTGGCTTGCGCAAGCCAGATCTGTGCAGATGAACTGAACGAAAATCTGGCGTTTACACGTTCAGTTCGTTTTACACAGATGT